TATGCTTGGTGTGTTTTTTTATTTAGTCAATTTTCGCCATTCGAAAGTTCTGGAGGTTTGAAAATGCCAAATGGGCCAGGTTCTGGAATAAATTATCCGCGCTTTGAAGAAGTTATTCATATTGCTGAGAGCGTAATGCGAATTATTTATGCACGGCGAACTAACCCGCACAACAAAATCGTTCCAAAATGAATTCAGGCTAGATAATTGGTCGTATTATTTTGGTACGAATCAAAATTTCACACTTTGATATTGACCAAAATTTATAAGTTTTCAATTTTTTTTTTCCCAAAAACTATTCGATATGAATTAAGGGACAGTCGGAATATTCAGGGCTTTGCCCTGATATACGAGCAGTCTTGTTTTTGAATTATGTCCATACGCATTGCTTTCTATGAAATTGTTGTGAAGTGTTTTAGCTGAAAAAAAAATTCATTATCGTGTTCAGAATTAAATTTCTATGCCAGTAACCCGAAGTACAGTCACGGAATACAGAGATCACGTGATAAAAGGAATCTTGTTAACAATCTTACCCCTATGTTATCTACTAAAGAATATCCGCCCCTCTGAATAAATACAGTCAATGAGCAGTTAGAGCTTGTATTGAGAATTCAAATTTTGCTGCATTCGATTGGTCAAAAAATTGGCTAACTTAATCTATTTAACAATCTCCTCCCTTGATTGAAAGGAGAGAAACTGTTAAGTAGGTTCGATAAAAGTTTCGTTTTTTAATTATTTCGTGAGTTTTGAGTTTGAGTCCGGGGTGGCTTTCTCAGAGTATTTTTGGATGAGGCACATCGTCTGTTCGTCACGCTATCTGATTTTCGACCGGATAGATTCGTGCAACTTATTAGTCTAAACCAATCCCAATCTTACTCTTATATTTCCTAGTCTCAATTGATATAGTATATACTCGTATTCTTGCAAGGCTAGAGGAGAGGAAGAGCTACTGTTTGCTAAGTTGAATTTATTCTTCTCTGGCTGAAACTATAAATAGTTTCAGTCTTACAAATTATTGTAAATTTTAGTCATGGATCATGATTGGTCAGTTCTAAGTTATTTACAGTGATAATTATCAAGAATATAATTGGATATATTAAATATTGTTTTGAACTGGTTCCATTTCTCTAGAACGGTTTGAGACTTATGGCTGAAATTTTGACAAATAATGGCAGTATTTAATGTAAGATAACCGAGCCAAAAACAGAGAAACAATTTTTTGATAGGCCATTCAGAACAAGTCTGTCGGAGAGGAGGTTGAATCTTCGGATAAAAAATTTTACATTGGAGAGATCAACTTCTTCGCTGAGCCCTCATATAAATTAAATTTAAGTCAATTTTTGAGTGAATATTCACCAAAATTTTTTGTAAATTGGCAAATTAGGCGATAATTTTTAGAGCTTGTTATTTTTTCCTTCTTTTTTTTCTGAAATAAATTTACGCGAACCCATAATTATATAGTTGTTTGCTCTTGTACTCAATATCCGGTGGGCCTTCGATACTCAGATCACCTCCCTGATAAGCTTCCTTTTGATAGCCAAACTACGCTTTGAAAATCGCGAGTTTTAGTTTTTTGCTTTTATTACATTGCGTTAAATACAGTAATCTATTTCAAAAGTTCAGCCATGAGTACCGTAAAAACTACATGGAAAACGACAATAACATCTATTAAAATATGTTGTTTTTTGGCTGAAAACTGACAAATGAAATTTCTATGTCTCGTCACTGGATCAATTTCCTTGAATTTTTATTCACGTAGCCAGTTGAAGTAAAAACACAAAAATATCGTTAGCTGCTTTCAAGTTCAAGTAAAGTTTAGTCAGGTACCCACTCATCTAACGGTTGTATTTCATGGGAATTGAAAACCTCCGAAATTGAGTTCAAGTTACCCGCAGTGACAAAAATGGTTTTGGATTGATTTAAAATCAATCCAAATTAATAAACGAAATTTGGGAAGTGAAATGGGTTTTAAATAGATTTAAATCGATCTTTTTTCAAATGTTTGATCATTTTAAAAGTCTAAAAAATCTATTTAAATCGATTTGGATGGATTATCTGACTCACTAAGTTCCATCCAAATCTTACTTGAAGCCATTCAAATCTTACTTGAAGCCATTCAAATCTTTCTAAAATCCAATTGAATCCATTAAAAAAACCACAAACAGATAAATTTTAGTATTAAAAATCCATTTCAAATCGATTTAAATCAATTTTTCTGCTAAAATTGCAAAAACATGCTATTTAAAAATTAGTAATAGAGAAATACCACTACTTTCATATCGTGGAGATTTTTTTTTCATTTTTTTATGTATTAGAAGGTTGAAAAAATGTTGCTCTCAACAAAGTATGCTGTCAAAAACCATTTACTGATAAATTTCTACACAGAAGCTTTAAATGAAAATCCAAGAAAAATCCAATAGACAAATGAGTGTCGATTGCTTACTGCTTTTTTGTTTTTTGTTGGAAATCAAATTCCTATGATTTTCCAGAATAAATCATGACAAGCAATTTTTTTCAATCATTTTTTTAAGTCTAAAATCTAGCAACTACATTCGAAGTTAAACGATTTTAACATCAAATCCGTTCTTGTGAACAAAGAACTCAGCTAGACGTCCTCGTAGCAAGTGCATCTAAATGTACTCAGAACAGAAGTCAAAATTTGAACCTCGAAAAATTAAAAATTTAATCTTTTTCCGAAAAAAAGCAAAACGACCTCAATAAGTGACTGAACTAAGTCATTCAAAACTTAAAGAACGACCAAGAATTTTCAACGATTTAGGAGGTAACAAGTTATTAGCATTAAAAACACTCAAATTAAAGAAGAAAGATTTTTGAATTTCCATTTATGGTTCTTTCTTGTCTATAAAACTAGCACAAATTGCGAAAAAATGGGACTAACAAGATACTTTTTTTCTGCTGGCGAAATAATTTCCAATTTCAAACCTAAAAGTCATTCACGTTTTGTTGCCATCATATGCATTTTCATAATCGGAGGAAAAAAAATCGTAAATCAAACCACCACGCAAAATCATGTTTGGGCATGTAATTGTAACTGTTTCTAATAAACCGTAAAAAAATCAGTGAAGATAATCACCTCTATGAGTAAGATAGTTCATTTAAATTATATAGCTGCCTAACTATATTTTTAGCTTCAAGGTCATTTGCGTCTGAAGGTCATTTGCTTCCGTAACGGTTTTGGCGAAATGAATGCTAATTTTAAAACTCATTGGAAAGATATTTCTAATCAACTTTTTTTTAAAATCTAAAATCTAACAATCACATTCGAAGTTAAACAACATTTACAACAAATCCGCTTTTGTGAATGGAAAACCCAAGTTGCAGTTGAAAAGAAGTCAAAAGTCAAACCTCGAAAAATTTAAAAATTAATCTTTTTTCCAGGAAAAAGCAAACTTGCCTCAAGGTGACTGAGCTAGGTTATTGAAAACGTTAAAAACAACCGAAAGTTTTCTACGATATGATACGGAAAAAATTAATAGCCTTGAAAACACTTGAATCAATGAAGAATGGTTTTTGAATTTCCATTTATTGTTCATTTTGTTGATAAAACTAGCACAATTTTCGAAAAATGAACCTTTAAGGTACTTTTTCCTGCTGGCGAAACAGGGTTCACTTTTGAATTCAATTACATTTTGTGCAAATCATCCACTATCACAACTGGAGAAAAAAAATTGTAAATCGAATCACGCAAAATCAAGTTTGGGCAAGTAATTTCAATTTTTTTTCTCTAAAAAACGGCAAAAAAGTCAGCAAGAATTCTATAAGTAGTCAAGGTTATTTAAAACCTTCAAAAAGCTTCTTAACTATAAGTGTTCATAGTCATTTGCTTCAGAAGGGCATTTTCTTCTCTATCGTCTTCGGCGAAATGGATGCGCAACAACTACCTCAACAAAAGGAGGCCAGTGATATCTTACAATAAGTGGTAATTTTAAGTATAACGCAAGTATTAAATTTTAGAACTATATTGCATAATGTAGTCATTTCATTCTCATAATTGTACATGCTGCTAAGATAGTTTTTTTTTAAAATACATTAGTCTTCCAGATAAAATGATATTGAAAAACTCAAAATTTACACTTCTTTTGCCGAAAATTTTGGCTTTCGAAATAAATTATAAATACTGTGCCAAGTATAACAAAAAGCAATCCAGCTACATATATCACCATGGGGCCCTGCTGTCAGTTACCGTGCAAGGGCTGTGGCAAACTCACAGCGCCTTTCAAAAAAATACTGACTTCCTTTTTGAAAACATCCTAACTTTCGAATAAAAAACATGTGGACTTGAAGAACTGAATTTCTAAAACAATTTTAATTGGCACTTATTTGATTAAGTTTACACAATTTAAGAAAACTGGATGAATAATTAAATATTTTATTTCGCGGGGAGATCTGAAAAATAAATTCCACTTTCGAAACTTGAAGGCGATTACGTTTTTCGTGACCTATACACTTTTGGTTTTTTGATAGTGGAGTGTGCCTTCCTTTTAAAAAAGAAAGCACAGTCCCTGAAAAAGAAATTTGAGTTTGAAACCAAAACGAAAAAAAAATCAAAACAAATTTTACAGTTTCAATTACATTCATTGATTCTTAAAATATTCAATAAGGATTGAATAAGATATTTTTTGTTAAAATTCTTGGAAATATTCTGGTTTCTAAAAGAAAATGAACGAGAAAAGTGAAACATTCCATCCAGTTTTCGTGCAACTTTTTATACCAGCGCAAAGTATGAGCTCCTCTGTTAAAATAACACTCAAGGCGAGCTTCAGCATACAAAACTCAGACCTTCAAACTAGAAAAAACTACACGAAAAGAAAATTCATTGACTTAGTTAACTAACTTTTCAAAATAAACCCAGCTCAAGAAAAGATAATCTTTGTATAATTTGCGTGAAAAATACACATTTTTGAGTGAAAAGTTATCTAATTTTAAAACTCAGTGGAAAGCGATTTCCTTGGACCATAATCAGATTACAAAAAATTCTCTTAAAATGACTACGAAAGTCAACCATGACTGCTATGAAGAAGACCGTAGCTTTGTGGTCAATGTTTTCTAGATAGTTTCCACTAAAAACTCAGCCTTCAGAAAAACCCCGAGTGAGCTCTGAAACTCTAAACTTGAATATTTACAATATCATTTCATTTATTCATTGGTAATTGTACATATTTAACAGAAATATTTTTCATATATTTACATTTTACAGATAGAAAAACGTTAAGATATAGTTTGATCGATAGTTCGTTTAGACCTTTTAAATGTGACCTACTAAACTACATAGATTTCCAGTTCGAATCATTCAGATATCGTATTTTTTTTCGTATGGCCCAACTATTGTTTCACACTATTCTTGAAAGTTATTTACAACGGATCAAATCCCATTCTTAATTTTAATACAGCAGTTTTTCGATAGTTCTAAATTTCGATCGGCTTCGGAATCGGTTTTCTGATATGTCTCATATTCGACCCTTGTTCCATCGGTTTAAATGGCGGATATGCTCCATATGGCCGTGGAATTGGCAAATCTGCGTTGTCGTCTGGAATGTACGCATTCGGCCTGGGTTCGGCCGCCGTTTGGGTTCCGTTCGGCAACTTGTAATACTCCTCTTCCATGTCACGTGCCATTTGTTCATCTCTCGACGCCAGTCGGTTCACGTTGTCTCGTCGCATCTTTTCCCACTCTAGTTTCGCTTCTTCAGTCGGGGCTTCCCCTCTTTCTAGCCGCACGTATGCTTGTTCCAAAGTGGATTCTTTCTCCTAAATATCCAGTTCAATTCTGATGAAGCGCAGGAGAACACGTTTCAAGTTACTAAAACTTTTTTTGCCTTTTTGCGTTTGAGTACAACTTTGAAAGGAAATCAAGGTTACAAATAATGAACAGAAAGTCAGGGTCAAAAGATTATCATTTAGGAAATTGGATTGTATCTTTTCAACTGAAAAAAAATGACACAGCCTACGGAGCTTCGCGCCACTTACGATATGTCAAAATCTTAGCATGGAGAGATAGTCGACATAACATGAGGCGAAGAACCTGGAAAAAATCGCGATTTCATTTATTTCGCAATTAAAATTATCATTTATGGAAACTTTCAAAAAACGCACTCCCCCATCGTTTAAGGGACAAGTGAGCGACGAAGCTCCTTACAGCTCAACACCACATCGACACCCATTTTCTCTCAATAACTAATGTAGAAATTTGAGCCAAATGAGCTACCTAGTATTTGTACTGCTACCGTTGAACTTTTTGTACACATATAAATTTTTTTCCACCTACTACTGACTTACTTTGAGCTCAGATAATCAGAATTAATAAAAAGAGTTATCATGCATTACTGAACGAACAATTCAGTAGTAGATGGAAAAAAATTCTGATTACAAAAAAATCGAAGGTATAATAAATTGCAAAAAATTGGAACATATAGAATTAATTCAAAAAGCAAATATGTAATTTTTACAGGCAATTTAGAAAATCTAGGTTCCATTCAGGAGTGGATCTAGGATTTTCTCGAGGGGGGATTTTCAAAAAATTTTGACGACCTTTTTTTTATGTGGACCAAATTGATTTCCCGAGCTCTCCCTAAAGCACTAAAAAGACTCTGTTTTGGCCAATATTTCTGCGCCGCAGGCAATTTTTGAAAAATTTGGGCACTTTTTGAAAAATTTTGTTTAAATAATTGCGTTTTTTTGACGCGCGCTCCCCCTCAAAGTTAGTATATATTGGCGCCAAAGGAGCCTTTAGAAAAACTTTAGGGTTGCTCGGCGGCCAAAATTCTTAAAAATTAGAAAAGGGGGACCCTTTGGGTCGGCAAGGGGTCGAATCCCTGAGATGGGGGGGGGCGTGCGCCCCCCCCCCCCCCCTAAATCCACCCCTGGTTCCATTGAAACACAGTTTCTGTCTGAAAAAAATAGTGTTCGCATACAAAAGTTATCTGAAATATGACATTTGCTATTTTTAACTTATTTGTGTTTTTTGCAGCTCTCTTTACAGTTCTTTTCTGACCTTTAGAATTTACACGAAAAAGGATGAAGACAAAATTTGCTTTCAATTTTCGCTAAATGCATATGCTGCAATTTTTTTTGCGAAATTCGGGCTTAAAAATTCACCTTTAAGTCGATGGTTTTTGGGTTTTTATTCAATCAGACGTTACGCCACGACAACATTATATCAAAGTGAGCCTTTTATTTAGCTAACCAAACTTTAACACGGATATAATCTTCCAAAGTTTTTATAAACAAATGTATTTTTGTATAATAGCCCAAAAGTGTCATTACAATTTAACAAATAGCTGTTTTTTGGAATACACTTTTTAACCCTTTTGTTAGAATTTTTGGAGATAATACCCGTCTTAAACTTTATTGGGCCAAATAAATGGCAACTTTGATATAAATTTGTCAGCAATTGATCCGGTAGTTATGATTTTTCCCCAAATTTTTCCAAATAAATTGCACCATATGCATTTTGCAAAATTTTTAAGCAAGCTTTGTCTTCATCGTTTTTCGTCTCAAGTCAACTCAATTTGAAATCGTTTTTCGTCTTAAGTCAACTCAAGTTTTAATCGTTTCGATAATTTAAATCAGCACGGTATAGCTTTTAAGAAACTCGTTAGACGCAGACGTCATAAATTTCTGAAAAAATTCGAAGCTTGAAGCAGCGAAATGGATTTGGAATTGCACTCGAAACTTCAAATTTTCATTTTAACAGTCAAAAAGCCATGCGAAACAATTACACTGTTTTGGAGACGTCCATTTTTTGAATACCTTCAAACCCACAACTTCGAAACAATTTTCATTCAACATCAATCTGCAAAGTAATCAATCTGAAGAGCAAAAAAAACATACGTCGAATTTCACAGGAGATTTTTTGAATTTGTTTCAGATTGAAGGTCAGATTTACAGTTAATGCCCCTTGAGCAATTTAATCGGTCAAAAACTATAGAATTTTAGTTTAATTCGTTTTCCGGACACGGTTTTTACGTGGGAAAACCAGTTAGAAGCAAAAAACCGCCATCAAAATGAGCAGTTTTAGGTTAGTTAATTTCGTTCAGTTTCGTTAACCGAAAAGATATTGCCAACAACAATTCGGCATTAATTATAGAATAAATTCGTTATATAGATAAGCAAAAAGTTCGAATTGGCAGACTTACTTATAAAACGCTATCTTTTTATTTTGAAAAAGTTTTGAGTCTAATTTCGACGTTCCAGACAACCTTGAGAAACGGATTCTGCCTCAATTAGTAACTTTTGCATGCAAAAATTTTCTAAACTAGGGCAATTGCGTTTTTCAATTGATCTGTTTATCCTAACTTTTTGCTACTAATTCACTAAAATAATTCGCGAAAAACTATATCACTACGACATGATATTAGGCAAAGTTGAGACCAAAAAATGTATAAAGGCCTTAGTTTGATTTTTTGAATAGAACTAGCACTAGTACTAACCCTAAACCTAGTAAAGAATAACCACCCCTATAAAAAAAACTGAGTCAATAATTGAGCATAACTGAATTTTGTACTCAGTAACCAATCCCCTAGTAACGAGTTGAAAAACCCAAGTTTTTTGACGTCATTTGCTGATTTTTACTAAATTACGTTTTTAACGACATTTGCTGATTTTAATTAAATTACGTTTTAACGTCATTTGCTGATTTTAATTAAATTTATGTTTTTGACTTAATTTGCTGATTTTAATCAAATTACTGTTTTTTAACGTCATTTGCTGATTTTAATTAAATTTGTCGATTCAAACTTATGCAACTGTTTTCAACTACTGACCTTGACTACTTGTTGTAGCTGCATACAGTTGGCCTGATTCATACTCAGCTCAGACACAGTGGCCATCATCTTCCTCGTCAGCTCCTTGATCTTATTCTGGTACTCATTCACCTTCTTCGCCAACACCAGTGAGTCATCTTTGCCCACACTCGCCTTGTTCCTCACTCTCTCCGCCAGTCTAGTCACCTGGAGGGATAAAAAAGAATTGAAACTTGGGATCAGATATTCAACGCTTCGGATACAAAAACTAAATCAATCATATCCATCTCGAAAAACATTAACAACATTCATTAGTCTGGGCGATCAATTTATAAATCTATCAAAAAAAAAACATCCTGTCTTCAAGAACGAAGGACAATAAGCAAATTGTTTAGGATCCTGCAGAATCAAAACTAATCGATCTGATTGTCTAGTCACATACCGACAAGAATTAGGTCATTAAAACACATCTAAGTCTATCTTCATACTAATAATGTCTATTGATTGAAACCAAGCATCTCTCTCAATAAAAAATCGTTTTGCCTTATATCCTGTTACCATATTTTATGTTACCAAGTGTTGATCAATGGGAATAAAAATTCTTATACACCCAAATTTAAACCTATCTTCATAATCATACAGCCTACTGTCAAATTGCTTCGGCACCTGTGAAAATTTATTTCAAGCACATAAATGAGCAGGGGCGGATTTAGGTGAGGGGGCGGGGGGTCGGACGCAAACCCCCTGCCGACCCCAAGGGTCCCCCTTTGATACTTTTTCAGAAATCCATTTTTGGCCAACCGACCCTAAAATTTTTCCAAAGGCGCCTTTGGCACCAATATATACTAACAAAATAACTTTGAAGGGGAGCGCGCGCCAAAAAAAACGCGATTTTTTTTGTCTAAATTTTTCAAAAAGGGCCCAAAAACGGCAAAACAGTGCTTTGGGAGAGCTCGAAAAATCAATTTGGTCGACCTAAAAAAAGGTCGTCAAAATTTTGGAAAATTTTTTGAAAATCTGCCCCCCCCCCCTTGAGAAAATCCTAGATCCGCCCCTGTAAATGAGTACTAGTCGACTTTAGCAGAAACCCAATTTAACTGCACTGGCCAAATGTCTCTTGTAATACAAAATGAGATTAATTGATAAGTAACATAAGCAACGCAAAAACATTTCTACAAAACTCACCTGTTCTAAAAGCAGTTCCTGTTCCAGCAACTTCTCTTCTTTGTCTGCCAGTCGTTCCTCCAGAGTTTCGATCCTCCTGCTAAGCTCAATTGGGGACCCATCGTCACCCTATTCACAATATCATTCATGTAATTTTACAATTTTTTCCGTTCCTCATTAAAAGGAGGCTGTAATATTAATGATTTTTTTGACATGCAGTCAGGGTTCTAGCCCTACAATTATACTGGGCAATTTTGATGTTCAATAAAAAAAAAGCGGTTGAGGATTAGTAGAGCAACGTATATTTTGAAATATCTTGAGTTCAACATTGATTGGCGAAAAAATAACATCATTAAAAAAACTAAATTGATTTGAACATTCCAGTTTCTTAGAAACAAATTTCGAAGTTCAAAGTATGAGTTGATGCCTCACCTCCAAGTATCTCACTCTTCCTGGTTTGGACGGATCTCCGAGAGTATCCTCCAAATCCCTCAGTCGATCCTCACACTGCGACAACTGGATCTGCAAAACTACCAGTTCATTCTCCAACTCCCGCTTGTTCGGAACCTTCTTCCTTGCAATCTCAACCTGCCTTTTCAACTCCGAAACTTGAACAGTCAAAAACTTAATCTCATCTTCTTTAGATTGCAACTCAACTTGACCATTTCTCAGAATGGAGTTCTGAATGTTCACTTTCTCATAGAATATGCAAACTTCTTCATTGCGTTCGATTAGTTGAACTCCTCTATCGTTTCGATTTTGGATCGAGTTTTTAATTCTATGCCTCAAAAACACCGCATTCTTATCAGCCAGCTCAATCATCACATTCATCTTAGCAATGTCGCGCTTTTGCTGCTTTTCAACTTCTTTATCATAAGCATTTTGACGCTTCAATTTCGTAACTTCATTTCGCAACGTATCCCTCTGGACGATCGCATTGATTCTTTGCAATCTTGCCTTCGCCAGTTGCTTTTCTTTGGTTTGAACAGTCGACCTCAGAATCTCGATTTCGTTTTCCAGAATCTTAATTTTCTCTCTCATTTCTGCCGCTTTCTGGGTGCTAGCTTGAATCGTAGTTATACACTTTTGTCGCTCGTTCTTAACCAAGTCATAAACTTTGGCATAGTCGGCCAGTTTGATTTCCATTTCGCGCTTCTTTTTCTTGTGATCTTCTTCAATCATAGTTTTAGTTTTCAGCTCTTCCTTAGCTCGAGTGTACCTTTGTTCAGCCTTCATGCAATCTCTCGCTTTCTGTTCACGTTCATCGGCCTTAATAGCCGCAAGTCGGGTCAACTCGATGACTTCAACTCGATATTCGTTTTCATCCATCCTCAAATTTTTCTCTTCTTCAATTGCCTGATGAACTTTGTACTGTTCCGCGGCTGTCATTTGTCTTTGCTCTGCCAATGCCATTTTAGTAGCTTCGACCTCTTTTTCCAGTTCGAATTTCTTTTGAGTCAGAGATCCGTCATCTTTCGGCATACTTGCGACCATAACTTTGGTCTTTTCGAATATCGAGTACTGATTCGCAAGCGTCTCTTTTGCCATCTTCAGCTGGACTTCCAATTTTTTGAGGGCCTTCAAATTTTTATCCTTTTCACGCATCAACTGTGAATGTCGTTCGTGTAGATTCTTCTTTTCCATGTTTAGATGCTTCAGACTTAGCTCAAGGGTAGCCCGATCGCCTAGCAAAACATTTTCACGTTCCTTCGAGTAATCCAAATCCTTTGACAGAAACTGATACTCGCGATATTCTTCCTCCTTCTTCAGGTTCAGTTTCCGAAGATCTTCGTCTAAATCCTCTTTTTCCTTCTCGACTATCGTGTTTTGCTTTATAATTTCACTCAGATTAGCAGTGAGATCGGAATAGGTATCTTGAAGCGCGCCTAATTTTTCATCTACAGTTCTTTTTGTTTTCATTATTTTGTCTATTTCTTTACCAATCTGTTGCGGTTTTTGGTGAGCTGAAACCAATTTCTCTTTTAATTCCTCTTGTTCCAGCTGTTCAGTTTCAAGAACTTTCCTCTCGGCGTCATTTTGTTTATTTTTGGTCAGTAACTCTTCTTGGAGCTGTTTGATTTTCGAGCGATTTTGGGTGATTTCGGCTTTCAACTCATCGATAGCTGCAGTCGTATCTTTCAGCTGCTTGTCAATTTCATCCGCTTTTGGAATCCGATTGTACTCACGTGTGAGCATATCTCGTTCTTCTTTTAGGTTCTCGATTTGAAAGTCATACTGGAATTGTCGATCTGCAGACAGATCCAACTCATTGTGGTATGTCATTAGATCGTTACGAAGTTTGGCAACTTCGGTATTAGAACCTTCCGGAAAATCTTCCGCCTTGTCCAATTCCAGACGCTGCTTTTCCAAGTCATTTGTGAGCTGTTTGGCTGTTTGCAGACTACTTCTCTCGCGTTCTCGGGAATCTTTCAAGCTATCAAACAAAAGCGAGTATTTAGCTTTGAGAGTCGCCATTCGAGTTCCACTAAGCTTCCCTGAGTAGAACAGCTCCTCCAAATTGTGGAAAGCAGGACTAGCTCCAACTTCTTGAACCTGAGTCGCCGCATCCTCGTCTTTGGTTCTTGGAGGCTGAGCGAATATAGTAGCTGCTTCTTCATCATGCTCATCAGCAAACTCAAAAAGCTCGCTATCATTCACATTTAAATTCGAATCGGCCATTGCATTACTTTCTATAAAAGACTACAAAAGATCAGTTTTTTCGAAATATTCCTCAATTTATTGAAAATTATACTAGTCGGGGAATGCGAAAGTGCAAAAACAAAATTTAATGTTTTTCCGATATTTTTCCACACTATCGAAAAAGCTTAAGTTAGAAACTGAAAGAAAAACTTCAACTAACACCGGGTCAAGCCCGGTGTTAGTCATTTTCACAACGCGTTAACAGAAAACTTGCCTGCTGTCTCTCAAGTCAACTTTTGATTGTAACCTGAAGTCTCACGTGGTTTATGAAAACTAATGTAGTAGATATAGTTCCACCGGAGTGCAGCCAGTATTTAGACAGCCGCGTATTCATACTCGTCAGTATTTAGACAAATACTGTATGAACCAATCAGAATCGAGAAAAGACTTAAATAATCCAAAATATATAATAATTATTTATTAAGTTCTTATTTGCCTCGATTCTGATTGGTTGAAACAGTATTTGTCTAAATACTGACCAGTCTGAATACGCGGTTGTCTAAATACTGATATGTTACCAGTTCCACCTATGTTGGGCAAACGTGCGACATCTAACCACACGGATAACAGAGCATCAAAAGAACGATACGCCGGTAGGACAGCATCGCTCAGCATACTGTGGACAATTTAAGGCAACTGAATGACAGGCAACTAACTGGCAAAAATAATGACGTTGAGAAATTAGAGGCGGGTGCGTATTCATAGGCTCCAAAATGAAAAAACAGTCGAGTAAGTTCCAAAATTTATAATCGGTCCCATAAGTTCCAAAATAAATAATCAGTCGCACAAGTTCCACAATAAATAATTGGAAGACTGAAATAAATTGGAAGACTGAAAAAAAAAAAAAAAAATTGGAAGAGTGAAAAAAAATATATAAAAATATATAATTGGCGTTGATCTAACAAACAGAGTTACTAAATGGCTTTAGCATGATAAATCACTTGACTTATGATAACGTGCAATGGTGGCATTTTTTTGCCATAAGACATTTGCAAAAAATACATACTTCAAACAAAAATGGCAAGTTTATATTACTGAACAGAGGGTGAATTGAATGATTGCGAAGAATGCATAGTATAGTATAGTATGGTATAGTGAATACATTTACTTGAACAAAAAAAAAGAAAACTAATTTGCGCTAACAGCAAAGGAACAAAGGAGCACCAGAATTGGGAATGCAAAAAACGTAATAAACTGCACAGGACTAGATGGCCCGGCTGACAATCATAGTGGCGTTTCCTCTCATGAGGCACACTGAGAGGCTCTGGAGAAGGCGAACTGGGGCAACACGAGCGTCACGTGAACCAGAACGTCTGGCATCAGCGAGGATAGCAACTGACTTGAGGGTTTTGATAGCTAAAGCGGACCAACCCCCGAGCGTTTCGACTGCTAACGGGAAAAAACTGATTCCTTGTTCCTCACAGTTTTTCTCGTGTTTCGAAAATTTGCGGTCCTCAGCAACTTCCAGGGACGCCCCGGGGGTCTCCGCCGCACGAGAGAGAAGAGATAACTGCAGCGGGGATGTCACGGTGACGTCGAAAGCAGCTGGGCGACCAGCGCTCCAAGTAGGGATAAAAATATCGCCGGGTTTGGACCGTTCTCCAGGGATGAGGTTCCGTTGCTCCTTGATGGGGGCTAAAGAGGCAGCCGAGGTAGCATTGAAAATAATGTCCCGTAGTCTGTCGTGACGGGAGATCCGGCCACCACTCCCCCCACAAGCGACAGCGTGGTCCCCGAGGACGTCCAGAATGCCAGACGGACACGCGGGGCACCTACGACCAGACGCGAACACAGGAAGACCAAGGCGGTATCTGACAGCAGCTTGGAACTCAGCAGGTAGCAGGTGCAGGCCAAGACCTTTAATGGGGACTGCGGTAAGCCAAGCGCCGGCGTAAGGCAGAGAGAGCGACTGAAGACGAGCTTGCTCGCGGGAATCGGGAAGAGACGAGAAGAAAGCGTTGTAGGTGGCCTTATCGAGTTTCTCTTGGAAAGCTTCTTGAGTAAAACCGGGAGTGTTAACGCTTCCAGACTGTTCACGGAAGTCGTTCGAGGCACGCAGGAACTCCGGCGTATCAGTGATGTCGCATTCGGTTAGAAACGAGACCAAATGAGCTGACTGACACGAAGACCCTAGGAAGGCAGGGATGTGTTGGTCGCGAGCTTGCCGGACGCCAAGTCCGCCATCTTTGATAGGCAGGGAAGACTGGGACCAGGCAAGATCAGGAACAGGTGAGCCAACTATGACAGAAAGAGCATCGCGGAGGAGTTCATCAAAAACTTGCAGGGAAGCTGCGACAGGCTGAGAGGGCGGCTGAGTCCGAAGAGAGTACGTCAGCTTGGGAGCAGCAAGGCAAGTGCGAGTGATGCCAAGTGAGAGCTGGGGGTCATCAAGAAGAGATAACTTTTCAAGACATTTAGTGGCCTTCGAGATGCGTTTGTCCAGGACTTTAACTGAGAATTCAGTATCACCAATGGGGGCGCCAAGAAGCTCGAAGCCATTAGACGCTGCTCTCGGGATAGAGACGGGGATGGAGGAGAACTCCACAGGGGCCCACAAATCACACTTACTGTGCTTGACTTTGAGGCCGAGATGCAAGCAGTTGGAAGTGATGAGTTCGAGAGCCTTGAGCAAGGAGTCTTCGTCGCCGGCACAAATCCCATCATCAAGGTACCAGCAGTTGAGGGTGAGACCGGGGACTTCCGACTTGAGAGATTCGACTAGAGAGTGCAGGGTGACCGCAAAAATGAGAGGCCCTAGCGGATCCCCCTGTTGAACTCCTTTCTCGCTGTTGAGAATGACATCCTCGAACAGCAGATGACTGTGGTGACCGTAGGTAAACTCAACAAAGGCAGAGAGACCGGGAAGACGGTTGCGAACTTGAAGGAGGATCTCGGTGCGGTCTAGCGTGTTGAAAGCGTTCTCAAAATCCACTGTTAAGACGCCTTGGTGACCATGTTCCGAGCACTTTTTGACTGTCATTTTAGTAGCGTGGACGATGGCTTCCGAGCCACCGCTGGTAGCGACTCCAAGCTGGTGAGGACAAAGAAAATCACGAGCTTCAGCGTTGGCGGCTTTAGCAAGGCATTTAGCAGTGAGCCTTCGGAGCACTTCGCCGACCGCAATAAACCGGACACCACCCTTGGGTTTAGCGGTGGCAAAGAGATTCGCGCTGCACAGCCACGGAGAGAGACTAGAAGGGGCTTGCCCGGCAGCGAGGATATTAACAACCCTGTTGAGAGACTCTAACGTTCTGGCAGCAGTCTGAGGAGTGGGGCACTCAACGGCGTGAACAAAGTGCTCAGGGAACCAGCTCGAAGGACCGGCAGCAGTGCCGCTCGGGAAACTTTTGAGAGACTTATGAACGAACTCAGATTCGAATTGGTAGGCAAGAGGGGATTCATCCCGGCCAAAAAAGACCGGAGGATCAGCGGAAGGATGAAGACTGCGAAGGTCCTTAAGCGACTCGTCACTTTTGGACACGAATAATCAGTCCCTTGCACTCTTTCATTGAAAACTCGCCATTTTCGAGTTTGTTTAGACGCTGAACGTCCGATACGAATAAGTTCCAGCTGACTGTCGACAATTTTTTCTTGTTGTTTCAAAAATCGGATTGCCAACCACAAACTTGACGAATTTCGTTGAATTTTCCGATTCCATACGCTGTTCCAGCCATCGCAAAAATTTGTAGTCCTTAGTCGTGGTGGCCTATTCATAACATTCCACATTTTTTTAGGGAAAAGTCAAAATCCAGATTTTGTGAAAATATTGAAATAATTTGGTCATTTCTGGGTACTGCGAAATTTTTTGTTTAACATCAAGTTCCTGAAACAGCTCGATAAACATGGGCAAAATCTGCTCTTCTGGCAAATATGCCAAAACCACAGGCATTCATACAATTTTTTCAGCCCAGGGTCTTTAGAATAAAAGCTTTTCAAGCCAAGTTCAGTCTTGAAAAGCTTTCTTCAATTTTAAAAAATTTCTTCAATTTTACTTGTAAGTTCGTGATAAACCAAAAAGCGAAGAGCTTGAAATTCCAACTGTTTTCCCATTAAAGGGCCAGTATAAAATTTTTGAATGATTTTCATCAATGTAATGAGAATTTTTATAGTGTTTTTTTTATCGATACGTAAAAAATGGCCGATTTTTATTTGAGTTACCGAAATGTTTCATATTGTAGCAGCTAGCTCCCTGTTCCACAGCATCAACACCCTTAACACAGGGGGAAAAAAGCAATACGAGAGCCTTGTTACAGCAATTCCTGGCCTATCCCTTAATAACAACTTGCTGAACCAAGGAAAGAACCTCCGTCGACTACTGGAAGACAGTCCACTGAAGGAGAAAAAAGTGGTTGTGTGGAACGACGTGGTGAACAACACCATTAGCAGCCACAGAACAAACAACTATCGCCCAGCCGGTGTCGAGGAGCTGACAAACTATTTGAAGACGAAGAAGCAGCAGATATTGGCGATCGTTTATTGCAGAAGGGAAGGAACGCCCGACTTGTTTAGTCAGCTTCTCGGCACAGGGGTGCTCATTGTTCCAGCTACAAAACTACTACTCTCCAAGAGCAAGCAAAACAACCCGGAGCAGCTCAAGGAATATTTGAAGCTGCACCAGAGTGCTGATTTGGAGCTGAAATCTCTGCGATTGGTAGTGGCACACAAAGAAAGGCTGTCAGAGCTGATTGGCAATATCAGGGGCAAACAACAGAGACCATCACAGACAAGGAGGAAGGCGAAAGCAAGACGTGAGCAGAAGCTGAGGGCAGAGGAAGTGTCTGCGCTTCAAAGACAGGGGTGAGAAGAGTGTGATTTGTTTTGCTTTGTGCCTTGTGAGTTTCATTACTCGTGGCCTGCAAAACAAGGACCACAGTACTTTTGCCTGCTGTTTGGCTCAGACAAATTTTGAAAAGGAAACTAACTTGGAAAATTGTGTTAGACTATTTAAAATTCTTTAAAAAAGTTCAAGTATCTGTACATAGACTGAAGTTTCTGAG